CTACACGCACAATACCATATCATCAATATTATCAACTTATTATATCTTTCCATAAAAATAAGAATACATTTATCATTTACCAAAAAAAAAAATAATAATACATTTATTTAACTAGAGTCTAGACTCTATCACCATATATTAATTGGTTTTTAATCAGTGAATGATTCCATTTCTTAAATACTTGCATTAAAGTTTTTCTGTCGTAAGGGAAAAAGGTGCATCATCACTAATAAGGACTAAGGAGCCTGAATGGTCTATATCATGTCATATCTTTTCATGCAGTTGACTTCTAATTTTAAATGAGTTAACAGTGTGATTGGGAACATTGATGATTTGAATTTGGAGCAGAAAGAAACTTAGTTAAAATTTTGAACTAAATTTGTTTTAATTTTAAATTTTAAATTTTAAATATGAATTTGATACTCTTAAACACATTTACTCAAAACTGCTTATATATTCATGAGAGGTGTTAGGATGAGATGGCTTATTCGTTTATCAAATTTTTTTTTTTAATCCACATTTATCAATTGAATGTATGACATTATTGGTATAAAAATTTTGCTTCCACTAATAATTGTATTTATGAACAAGAAGGGAAAGAAAAATTCTTCACTGTGAAGTGGTGGGATGAGATGGCCGAGTGAAGAATTTTGCAAGAGAGCGATGATAGAATAATTGACACATACGATTAGTTGGTGTGTCATTGAGGTGTGAATGTTATTGCCAATAATTGTGATGAGACTCACACTTCTGCAAGTCAAGTATGAAATTCTTCGAAAAAATATTTCACAATGAAATTCTTCATGGTGAAAAATATATTTCATAGCATTGTGGTCAATATCAAAATGAAAATGAGAGAGCAACATCACCAAAATTGGTTGATTAATTAAAACATTGATGGTAAGTAATTTGTTGATGGGACCAACTTAATTGTGACATTCTCCGGCCTCAATTGAGTTTAAATGAAAAATAAGTCGAGAGTGTTTTTTTTTTTTTTTAATAAGTAAAAAATGCTTCGAGAGTTTTAGGTATGGGACCTTAAATAATCAATCTACAAATAAATTACGGTGTGTAAGGAAAAAAAATATATATCAAAGCTATAGAGGGTGATCTCTGCTTTGTTTCTTAATTTTCTGCTTTCTTTATGTGAGAGAAAAAAAAGAAAAAGAAAATCTAAATAAATAATATAATAAACCATGCATGTTTCATGGCCATTATTCTAATGTTATCTTTCTTTCATACCCAGTAAGGACTTAAATATAGCTAATCAGGTAGCAGAAGAAAAATCATACTGTAAAGAAAAATTACATTTGTTTGGTTGTGAGTGTTGCTATATATAGTTGTCTGTGGCAATAAATAGTAGTCTTTATTTGTAAAATTAAAAATACCAATAAAGATAACTAATACCAATGGATCATTAATTTAATTAAGTTTCATAGAAATTTGTGAAATGTGCGTGTGGGCTTACCTAATAAAAAGGTAAAAATAAAAGTTAGAAAATACAAACCGAGTGTTAGCACCCTAAAAATATTTTTTGACCATTGGTGTTGATTTGTTGCTTAAAAATATTTTATTTGACTATGATGTGCTAATCAGTTGGAAATGCAATATGATGTGTTGTTTTAATACTTTTATTTAGAAGGAGAGTCTTAATTAATATGCGACTTCCTGATCCGACCATTTGATGTTGATTAATTTGGAAGAATACTTAGTTCAGCATCATGGCCATTTGATGTTGATTCAAACGTAACATTCTATTCAAAATATTATTTTTATGTAATTTGAGAAAGTTATGTTACCCCCATTGTAATTTAATATAAATATTTAGTTTTTGGTTGATGAGACATATTCGTGAAAGAATTTATCAAACACTTTTATATAGAGTTTCAGATTTGACATTGATATTGGTTTGAGCTACAAAAGTAAATTTTTTTTTCTTTAAAAAAGTTCGTGCAGCCAATTAGAGAGCTAGAAACTAGCTTTTTCAGTTTTCATTTGAAGGTTGTTAAAAGTTATCCCTGTCTGGAAGATTGAAACAAATGAAAACTGAATCCTTTTAAATACTTTATATATTTTCCCTTTTCCTTTGTCAGCCCTCTTAATCCAAACAAAGGATAGTCCATTTCCATGCTAATACAAGAGGGTGAGAAATATGATGGCTACCTACTCTAATAAACAGTTGAAAATGATTTTTTGTGTGATTTTTTTTTTTTTCCAAATAAATGCTAAGAAATTAAAATATCACTTCTTTTAGGTTATACTAAAAACGTTATGATGTGGATATCCTACAACTCTAAATATTTTTGGAGAATTAACTTATCATTGGAGTTAGAGTGAATTCGAGAGCGGGAGCACAAAAACAGTGAAATTAAGTCTTCGGTGAATTTGAAAGCGAGAGCGCGACAATAACAAAATATGAGTTGTATTAATACCAATGAGGTTGCCTCCGATGACAACTTCCCATCGTTGTGAAGGCAACGAGTTGCTCGCCGATGACCTCGTCCAACCTCTCTATTTCCTTCTCCCGTATCGTTCTTTCTATTTCCTGCATCATCTGGATTTAATTATATCAACCAACATACCCGAGAAATCACCAAGCCGGATTAAAATTTTCGATGAACCCATGCTATCATGGGACTTGGATCGATTCATTAAAATCTATCTACTGCTAGTGTTAATGATGTAGAACTGATTGCTAAAGCCTTAATGGCTTGTTTGGACCGTCAGGGGGCCAAACGGGCATATTGATGGATTTTTTGGATTGACCCCAAAGTGAACTAGGAAAGAGTCCAGATTTATCAGAAACGGCCCAACTCGCATATCTCGGCAGCCTGCCGAGGTAAGGCATCTTTTGGCCAAATTCAATCGTTTAGGGCTCGGGAATGGCGTTTTCTCATTTTTAAATATTTTGGGATTTTCGTTAAAAGACTAAACGGATTCGATTTGCTTTCTTGTTTGGTATTTAGTTAAAAGACTAAACGGATTCGATTTGCTTTCTTGTTTGGTATTTAGTAGTTTTTAGTAATTATGTTTCTTTCCTTATTTTTTAAGAATTTTCCGAGCAAGTTTGTTTTTGAGCAGTTTCCTTGCGCTGCTAGTTTCTTATTTTTTTAGGATTTCCTTTATGACAGTTTCCTTACGTTTTAGGATTTCCTTTATTCTGTTAAGGTTTTTAGTTATAAATACATGCACTGCAGAGCAAATCATTCATTCAATTATTAAATAATATATCAGATTTTCTCTGAATTATCCTTTCGTTTTGTGGATTCAAAATACCTACCTTGTGGTGAACAAATTTATCGGCTTACGTCAGTTAAATCACGTCAACTAACGACGCTACCTCCCTCATTTTTTCCAAAAAAAAGATCCTCCCTCTCTTTCTCCTCTTGCTCATTCCGACGACGATTGGGGAAATATTTCGCGCCAAAAATGAATGTTCTTTGCCATGGAATTAAGATGGACGAAAATGTGATTGCAAGACATGCAACTTTTATATATAAAAGCATGGATATTGATGGAGTTAGAAAAATACAACTAAAAGCGCTATAATATAGAAAATATGAGAGAGAATATCGGTTAGGTTAAAAGAGAAACAGAGATACATGATTAAGATATGAATAAAGATGAGAGAGATGAGGATTTTTTTTTTTTTTTTGGAAAAGATAAGGGAGAGATAACAACATTAAAGTATGGTAAATTTTCTTATCTCAAATTTTCAAATTTTCTTTAAATTAGTTGGCGTGGTTTAACACCAGCAGTAGATAGAGAACATTTAACTCAGAAGATCCAATTCCAGCTACCATGACCCCAATTCATGTGAAGAGGAAGAAGACCCATTTATGGGAATTCTTGTAATTTTAAAGTAATAATTATCAAACTTTTAATTTAATAGTAAATCATAAAATCAAATTCGACATTTCACAACCCGGTTAACGGGTCGGACATGGATAATTGGGCAATGTGATAACTTTTTAAAGTGTTGGTAGTTTTTTAAATAGGTTTGGGATTTATGATCAAAATTTGAAAGTAATAAGAGTTTTATAGAATTAGCCCTATTTTTTAATTTATAATACTATAATTTGAAACTTGTATAATTTAAAATAATACCTTAATTTAAAAATTTTATAATAACCTCAATTGTTTTCCCTCCCCTCTTTCACCCATACTAGGATAAGATGGATACAAATTTCTTAAGGATGAAGGATGATGACTCATTCCTGCTAGTAGCACAATCGAAACCTTATTTCAACTTGATTTGAATTTGTAGTTGAAGATCAAACATTGCTTCCAAATGGAATCTTTGAATCTCTGATAGATCCGACTAGATTTAGAACTCTAAATCACTCGTGTGCTTAAGTGTGTACTCTCAAAAATATAATATCAAAATTTCTTGAAATTTTTTTGTCAAAAAGCTCCAATAATGATCTAAATATAATCATTTATTTTTCCCTAATTAAAACATATTAGGTTTCGAGTCTTGAAAGGTTTATATAGACGAAAAAGTCCTAAAATATATGGAGATAGATGTTTTAAAATGATACAAGGAGTTTTTTTTATAAGTTTTGGTGCAAGAGAAGAGAATAAGATCACGAGACATTCATAGAGAGGAGATTGTGTATTTCTATCTTTTTGGTTATTCCGGTTGGTCTCAGGTGTCTATGTAATAGTTCAATATATGAATTTATATATATGGGTTGATTTTCAGCACACTCTTCACATCTTGCTTTAACGGGAAGCAAAACCAGTGGAAAGGGGAGGTGGGTAATATTTGAGAGTCGTGGTGGTGGTGGTGGTGGTGGTGGTAGTTGGTATTCATCAAGGGAAAAAGTGATCATCAAACACAAAATCACCAATCTGTAAAACAAGAAGGTTATCTCATTGCACTGGCCTGACTGGCGAGATACATACTGAAAAAAAGACATTTGAGAAACTCAATGTTATAACCGAAGCAATTCTATACATTCTACCATCATCAACAATGCACTTCAAAAAGATGGAAATAGATTAGAATGTTTATATAATATGTATTATGTCAAAGTCTTGGAAGAGTTTAAACTAAGGAAAAGAAGGCAAAGAAGGGCGCCAAGGTGGTTGGAAGTAAGGAACTAGTCTATCCTTTGCCGATACAGTTCCATTTCCATGATACTGAATTGGTTCCAATCTTCTAGTCCTAAAATCATAGCAAAACACCATTCTTCCCCGCCGAAGGTACAGAAGCTTTGCATTGCGAGGATGAAAAGCTATCAAACGAATTTGAGGAGGAAAGTGAGGAAGAGAATCACCGATGGCCAAATTCTTGTGACTCACAACTTCCTTCAACACCCATTCACTGCTTGGTATGATGCGAGATAAACTATAACTAGAAAGCTTCTTTTTGAGCTCCCACACTCTGATCATCAGTTTTTCATTTAAGGCAACCCGAAGAAGACAACCATCCGAAGACGACGAATGTCCCAGGATATAATCCATAAAGAATCCCCTTTTTCTCTCTTTGCAACAGAGAGGAGGCAACTCTATCAGCCAGATACGATTTTCCTCCATGTTGGGATCATAAGCAGCCAATTGACCACTAACTTTCCAGTACAACATCCCATCTACTGAATGGCATACATAGGACTCCTCCACCTCCTCGTATGAAAATTCAGATGGACAAGTGAGAAATGATTCGCTCCATTCGCGTGTACGAGAAGAGAAAGTTTCTATATGTAATCTGTCATATGTGCCTCCCACTCTCGCTTCCATAATAGATAGAATTACTTTGAAATGCACCACACCATCACCATCTTTGCTGCTACATTCTTCACAACACAAACCCGCCGAGGATGGAGCATTTCTTGGTTCAGGAAGAGCAAACCATTGGTTTGTAACGGGATTACAGACGTAGTATTTGAAAACCGTGTACCTCTCTAAACGGCATAGTATTAGGCCTTCAGGAGAAGCTTTAAGAAACAAATGATCTACGATGACATCGAAACTTGTAAATTTCCTTTCCTTACAATTTTGTAGGAATGAAACTTCCAGTGTTGACCCATAACCATCTTTAACCGCACGAGTACTCCGAAAGAATCCCAACAATGGGAGAAGAGAATTCTTACTTTGAGAAATGTAATTGGTGCAGAAAAGGGGATGAGAGATCAAACTGTTCCATGTCTTCGATACACACTTGAACTTGCAGACCGCATCTAGAGGCAATCGAAGCAAAATCTCATTTACAAGTTCATCGCAGTGTGACACAGCTTCCACACTGCTAAACCTGCTGTGGATCCTATTCATTGTCCTGGAAATTAAGAAGAGATACACAAAATTTTACCCATAAATTGCAGAAACAATCGGCGGGATTCTATCAACAAATGGAATTTAAACCACAAAACCCAATACAGAATGATAAGAATTTAAAACGAAGAAAAATATGAAATAATCAGAACAGAGTGAAATTGGATCCCCAAACAGATCGAAATTAAGATTCATTACCTGAAGTTGAAGAAGCCGATCTGAGAGAACCGTGGGTTGGCTTCTTCGATTGAACTCTACAATTCTGGAGTTCGATGGGAAGAGAAGAGAGAAGAAGGGGGCCGCTTTTGGAGAGAGAGATAAAAAAAACCCTAGAATTTATTATAAAAACCTTTTTTCCACTCGAACGAAATTCATCTCCTAAAGTTGTATGTTTTATTATTGTATAGCAATTCTTTTTTTTGTATAATGTATATAAATACTTATTTCGCTTCTAAATATATAATCAAGCATTCTAATAAAAATTTTTTAAAGTACTTATTATATTATGTTGTTAGACTTATAATTGCTTTTAGTTTCCGTATAAGAACTGAATGGTACTTTGAAAAAATTAGTTTAAAGTGAGAAGAAATTTTTTTTTATTATTATTTTTATTTTACTTTCCCCTTTTGATATTTTCAAATATAGTTTAAAAAGTTTTTCTATTACTATAACATAAATGTTTACCCTTTTAGTTGGACTCTTGATGGCAATTGGGATCCGCTTACAATTAGTATGTGAAATTAATACGTGGAAACACAAATAAAATTATACTTTAGTCTAAATGTGTTGTCTAAAAATGTTTTGATATGCATTTTAAGAAATGATATAAATTGTTGACTACATTCATTAATGGTTTATTAGAATTTTTAATTGTCAAATTGTTTTTTTTTTTTAAAAAAAAAAAAAAAAAATCACTAGAGCATCATGTGATACGATGTTTATGAGATTAATCTTAGACCTAACTTTATAAAATTAGAGAAACATTTTAATATCGTCCAAAAAATTCCCTTTGACTTTCAGCCTTTTTCACTAAATTATTTTCCTTAGGCTATTTTTATTCTAAAAAACTTTCTCAACTATCAGAGAGAGTAACAGATTCAACGGAACATTAATTAAGGATGCAAAAAACGTATCCATTAGGTAAAATTTGTGAATTGCCATCATCAGCTGTGTCGAGCAAAAGTCATTTTTTCTCCTTTTCAATTCTGAGTTTGTTGGTGGAAAAAATTTCCGAGTTTGCTCTTTTTTATCATTCCATATAACTAAAGAAATTGTTGACTGATCTATGTTCACAATTGTGGTAAATTATCTCTGGACTTTATTCTCGGTATATTTTGCTCTCTCTTGATCAGTTTTTCTGTATGATTGATCTGGACCTTTTTTTTTTATTTTTTTATTTTTTTATTCCCTTTAGTGATCTGGGTTTTTTTTATTGATGATGTAAAAGGATTTTTATAAATGCAGTTTCTAAACATCAAACTTTTTTCTTTTTAAATTTTAGTAAATTATTACACCACCACCATCACCACCAAATTAGTGTTCTAAAGAAAAAAAGAGTTTGTCACAACAATTGCTTCCCGCTAAGAGAAGAAATATAATAAAAATTATGGAGGAACAAATTGATTTTTTTTTATTCCTCTAAAATCATTTCTTTTTTAAAACTAAAAAATAAATAAATTAATATATATATATATATATACACAATTGGTTTATGATTATTTGTTGAAATTGTTATGACAAACTCTTTCTTTTATTTTTTCATTTTTTTTATAACACTCTAATTTGCAGGTATGAACATTTTTCTTTCAACACATTTCAAACTCCATACGTGCTTACAAAACAAACTGTGCCCACACAAAGTCCATTAGTCGGGTCGAAACGCGAATCGGGGTGGAAAAAAATTGGGACGGCAATGACAAATTTTTTATTGTCGAAATGTATTAACGGGTTAAAAGCACTTGGTACTTGTGGTCAAATAAGTGGGCGAATAATCAGGATATCATACTCCATAAAGGTCCAATCTGAGAGAAACTGTGATTTTGTAGATAATGATTATGAATTTTGTTGTTGGACAAGAAAAATAAAATTAAAGTTAATAATGAAAATTGTCGTGGGGTGGGAAGAGGAAACATGGTGGTTTGGTCTGTTTCTTGATTTTTATTTGCCACTATGGTGGTGGGTGTTACTATTGGATTCTTTTAAAAAGTCTAGAGTAAAAAGTGGAGAGAAATTATTGTCGAGAAAAATTATTAAATAAATTCATAACTAAAATAGCTTAGAATATCATTTTTCTTAATATCAACAAACAATAATATTGCGCACCTCCTAAAAAGTACTGCTGATAGGGAAAAATATAAACCTACCTTACCCTCTATAAGATTGATTAGATTTCATTATCAAGGATAATGAAATCTGACGTGATTCAACAGGGTAAGAATAATCTTATCATAATTGGAGGAGGTCAAAAGGATTATTCATATTCTCGACAAATCTGGCAACAAATCTCCTATGATCTCGCACAAGCGAAAGATAAGATCAACCATCGACATCGGCGGAACCAATTGGATTCCAATCGACAGCCATAAATAGGGCACCAAACCGTTAAAGAAGGTATAGGAAAAAACCCCTAAATAGAATATACATAATTATTATGTGATACGATTACAAGTACTAACTTGATCGCCGGAGGGTCCTCGACCGGCACCCCACCGGTGCCATTCGAGGTGACGTCCCTTTATTTTGTAGATAAACGCCGTCGTTCCGAATCGTGAGGATTTACGCATCAACAGCTGGCGCCGTCTGTGGAAACAATAAGTTCTCTGAAGAAATAATAATCCCGACGCGACTTGGCTCGGACGGCAAGACGAAAGTTTCTAATCATAGAAACCTTCCCAAAGTCATTAGTTGACAACGGGTTTCCATGTTCTTATATAAGGACGGGACTCTACATCTTGATTACTCGTCTATCATACTGGGGGCAAAACAGTGGGTTACGTGATGCCACCTTTTAAAATTTGGCACTTCGACCCAGGCAGTCCAATATGGTGTTTTCCATCTAGCGATGCTCGGTCCTTCACTACTAAGGTTTGGTCGTCTAAGACCAGACTCCATCTTATATCGGGCAGCAGCCAATTACCAAGGCCAGATCGTTGAAGACTAAGGTCTGGTCCTTCTGAACCTACATAAATGGGTAGGTCTCCACCTATCAAGAAGATCACCACCAACAAGGGTGTCTCTACCTACTAGTAAAGCTTCTACTACTGAGGATGTCTCTAGCAACGGAGTTTCATTACTCCGTCCGTTCATACAATCAGGGTGTCTATCCACTAGGCATCAAGCCAGTCGCTGGACACTAAGCCTCCACCTACCAGATGACAGTCGTCACCTCTCTTCCCTTGCAGGAAAGGCTTGTCGACTTCAGATTATGCAGAATTTTGGATTGATAATCCATTGCAGGTTAATTTTTAGTAATTACTTGTAACCCAATCCAATATTTTTAGACAACTGTAAATTATTGCAGCACCAGACACCTCGTCCGTTGCATAAACGTCTATAGAATGGGTCATCACCCAAGATCCCAACATCGGGGGCAGAATAGTAAATCATACGATATCAATCGCCGATCTACATATGATGACAAGGTTTAGAAGATTGATCGTACCTTGGTACATCGAGCTAGTCGAGTTTCTAGTCTCTACACGACGGGAAACGTACAACCCTTGGTTATTATAAATCAAGGCTTGGTTATCCAAAACCAAGGCCTAGTCAACCAAGACTAAGAATTGATTGCCCAAAGTCTACAAAGGCTCGGTCATCCAAGATCAGTGCCCGGTTACCCCAAGTTTGGTCATCAGAGACCAATACTAGGGTCTAACTGACAAAAGTATGGTCATCAGAGATCAGGACTTAACCTACAAAGGTCAGGTCAAAAAATGATCCTCCCCCTCACGTGTTATACTTATATAGTAATTAATTCCCTTACTAAAGGGACGAGCTGAGTAAAGCTCGTAAAGTTTATTCCCTTGCTAAAGGGACGGTTTAAATGATTCCCGTAATCAAATATCCCCGTACTATAAGGGATAGTAAATAAGTGTCCTGTACTACAAGGATCCGGACTGAATGAATCCCGTAATCAATATCCCCGTACTATAAGGGATAAGTATCCTGTACTACAAGGTTTCGGGCTAAATGAATCCCGTAATCAAATATCCCCGTACTATAAGGGATAGTAAATAAGTGTCATGTACTACAAGGACCCGGGCTGAATGAATCCCGTAATCAAATATCCCTGTACTATAAGGGATAGTAAATAAATGTCCTTTACTACAAGGACCCGGGCTGAATAGATCCCGTAATTAATATTCCTGTACTATAAAGGGATAGTCAATAAAAATTCCTTATTAAAGGGGACGAGCTGGGTGAAGCTCGTAAAATTTAATTTCCTTATTAAAGGAGTAACGACCTGAGTGAAGCTCGTACAATTTATTCCCTTACCAAGGGGAAGAGTACCGAGGGGCAGAATACCTGAGGGTACTAACAATAGTACCCAGGGGCAAAGTACCCAGGGGCAGAGTACCCAAGGGTACTAGAAATAATACCCAGGGGCAGAGTACCCAAGGGAAGAATACTCAAGGGTATTAAAAATAGTATCCAGGGGCAGAATACCCAAGGGTACCAAAAATAGTACCCAGGGGCAGAGTACCTAAGGGAAGAATACCCAAGGGTACCAAAAATAGTATCCAAGGGAACAGTACCCAGGGTTTAAAAAAAAAAAAAAATTCCCGAGTTACCATTCACATGAATAGTACCTGCGGGAATAATACTACGCGGGTACTATTCACAGGGGTTGGAAAAAAAAAAAATAAAATAAAATAAAAATTCATGAGTTACTATTCACATGAATAGTACCCGCGGGTACTGTTCATAGGGGTTAAAAAAATCATGAGTTACTATTCACATGAATAGTACCCGTGGGAATAGTACCCCGTGGGTACTGTTCACAGGGGTTGAAAAAAAAAAAAAAAAAATTTACATTCCCAAAGCTAGACGTGCAAACTTGGGAATGTGGGACAACTGATAGGGAAAAATATAAACCTACCCTACCCTCGATAAGATTGATTAGATTTCATTATCAAGGATAATGAAATCTGACGTGGTTCAACAGGGTAAGAATAATCCTATCATAATTGGAGGAGGTCAAAAGGATTATTCATATTCCCAACAAATCTGACAACAAATCTCCTATGATCTCGCACAAGCGGAAGATAATCAATCATCGACATCGGCGGAACCAATTGGATTCCAATTGATAGCCATAAATAGGGTACCAAACCGTTAAAGAAGGTACGGAAAAAAAACTCCTAAATAGAATATACATAGAATATACATAATTATTATGTGATAC